AATCCCAGCACTCAGGAGGCAGAGGCAGGCGGATCTCTGTGAGTTCGAGGCCGGCCTGGTCTCCAGAGCGAGTGCCAGAATAGCTCCAAAGCTACACAGAGAAACCCTGTCTCGAAAAAAAAAAAAAGTTTTTATTTTTTAAAGATTTATTGTGTATGCAGTTTCTGTCTTCATGTATGCTTGCAGGCCAGAAGAGAGCACCAGATCCCATTACAGATGGTTGTGAGCCACCATGTGGTTGCTGGGAATTGAATTCAGGACCTCTGGAAGGGCAGTCAGTGCTCTTAACCTGTGAGCCATCTCTCCAGCCCCCCCAAAAAGTTTTAAAAAAAGAAATTTGTGTTTGATGGGGAGCTGTACGCTGTAGACAAAATTATCCTGGCCTACCATTTATTATTCACTTCTGTCTGTCTGACCTAGTGTCATTGGGACAACCTGAGTCAGTCCCTGGGCCTTGGTCATTCAACCCAAAAATGAAGTGTGCATGATTGAGAACCTAAATTAGGATTCCCAGCACCCACATAAATGTTGGGGACAGGAGAGCAACTCTAATTCCAGCACCGAGGAGCAGAGACGATGGAACCCTAGGTTGCTAGCCAGCCTACTGAAATGGTTACCAGTGAAAAAGCTGTGTCAAGATTTATGATGGGAGTCAGTTTACTCAGTAGATAAAGGCGTTTGCTGCCTGGTGATGTAAATTTGATTGCCAACAGAACCCACATAAAGGTGAAGGAGCATTGACCCCACAGTATATGTATGCCGTGATATACGGGAGCACACACCTCACACACAATAAAGTTCAGGGCAAAAAACTAGGATGCAGATTGAAGATGACACCTCTCCCCTCTTCCATCCCAACCTCAGGCCTGCAAATGCGTACACAGCATAAACTCGTGGGCTGGAGTGGGAGATGGCCCAGTGGCTAAGCGTACTTTGGGCCAGGTTCGTGGTGCACGCCTCTAGCCGCAGCACTCGGGAAGCAGAGGCAGACGGAGCGCAGAACTCGAAGCCTTCCTGGGTCACATGGTGAGACCCTGTCTAAAAGTAAAAGCACTTGTTGTTGCAGAAGACTCAAGTTGGGTTTCCAGCACCCACGCCTGGCGGTTGCCGCCCTGTAACTCCAGCTTTCAAGGGATCCCAAACACATATAAAAGTAAAAATAAATCCTTAAAAACAGCAAAAAAGACTTCCTTTGAGATGACAGTTGCTCATGGTAAAAAAAAAAAAAAAAAAAAACGCAGACCGAAAGAAGTGACCAGCTTGTGGCTTGGACATTGGGTTTCCAGGCTAGAATCTCGTTTCCGGTGGCTTCTGACGTCACCTAACAAGCGCCGGAAATGATCTCGCGCTGCCTAGGAAACAGGACGCGGCCCAGTAGTAGCCAAACCTGAGAGCCGCACCCACCCTGTCGCCATGGAGCTTCCCTCAGGGCGGTGCGAGGATCCTCGCTCTTGTGATGATGAGTCGGACCCGGAGCCAGACCCGGACCCTGACGTTCAGGCTGAGGCCTACGTAGCCCGCGTGCTCACCCCACCCAAACCTGGCCTGACCCCGCGGCGCTCGTCGCTGCAGTCCACGCTCTCCGCGTCCCTGGACGCGCCGGAGCGAAAGGCTGTCTCCAGAGTCCCGCCCGTGCGCCTGCCGGGCCTGCTGAGCCTTCCCCCGGAGCTGCTGCTGGAGATCTGCGCCTACCTGGATGCGCGGGTCGTGCTTCATGTCCTGCCGTGCGTGTGCCAAGCACTGCACGACCTCGTGCGTGACCATGTCACCTGGAGGCTACGCGCTCAGCGCCGCGTACGTGCACCCTACCCAGTGGTGGAAGGTACGCACGCACACCCCGGGGAGCAGCAACTCCTGCCTAGGTCCGGCTTGGGGCGGTACCTGGGCTGCGGGGTGCGCACAGCTTCTGGAGCAGGCTTCAAGGAAAGGCTTCTGGAGTTGCCTAACCCTACTTGGATTCTTGACTTCCTCAGGCAGAGCCTGAACCTGGGATCTCTAACCTTAGAATTCAAAGATTTCCCGGTTTGGGCTTTGTTAGCAGTAAGGCCCTAGCCCTGATAAGAATAACTCTAGTAGGACTTTTTGGATTGTACTTGGAATGAGAATAGGGCCAAAGAATCTTTAGGCTCTGGATACAGCCTGAGACTCAAGCAGCAACTGGCTTGACAAAGCCCTTGACCCCTGGAATGTTGATCCAGGATAGGTGAAACAAGAGGTTCTGAGTCTCTCCCAAACCTGAACTAGCCTCAGGATTTAGAAATTGGGATCGTTGATACCTGGGTCTAGCCTGTCATCTTTTCTATTTTATTGTCTTATTTTGAGACAGGTTCTTATGTAGTCCAGGCTTGCCTTGTACTCCTGATCCTCCTCCTCTAGGCTTAGAAGTGCTGGGCTAGCTTGGCATCTTTGCAGAGCTCCTGTGTTATTTCTTCTGCCCTTGACTCCATTGGATTGTAAAGGAAAAGAAAACTTGAAATTGATGATTTTGAGTTTTGGGTTTGTTTTTTTTTTAAGGGTTGTATGCATGGAATTCAGAGCTTTGGGTCTGCTAGGCAAATGCTTTAATACGTGTTACATCCTCAGCAGAACTTTGATCCGGATGTTTCTGGGTCCTTAGGCTCTTGAGACAGACATATGACAAGCTGAATAGTTGATTACTCTGACCTATAAGAGTTTGATTCTGCAGATTTCTGGATTAAGGAGTTGACCTCCAATCCCTGGTCAGATTTCCAAATAGCTTTGATAAGAACAGGTGCTTGAACCTCATCCACACCATTGAAAGGGTAATCTGGGGTTTACATTCTGTCTTGGGAGGGAGGGGAAACTATTAGGGATAAAGCCAGGGCCCTTGGTAAATTCTTGACTGCTAAGCCACACTTTCCACTCTTTAGCTTCTGCCTTTTTTTGTTTTTGTTTTTGTTTTTGTTTTTGTTTTTTCAAGACAGGGTTTCTCTGTAGCTTTGGAGCCAATCCTGGAACTCACTTTGTAGACCAGGCTGGCCTCAAACTCACAAGAGATCCACCTGCCTCTTCCTCCCAAGTGAATGCTGGGATTAAAGGCATGTGCTGCCACTTCGTGGCGGCTTCTGTGTCTTAATGTGGCTTCCTGGTTTACAGTTAGAAGTTTAAGAACTGTGTCCTTGGATCTGGGTCAGGCCAGAAGGGGTAGTTAGTCTTGAGGTCCTGAAGAGGACCCAGAGTGAGGCTATTGTCACCTGGGCTCCAGTTGTGGGATGGAGGTTGAAAAGTGTAGTTTGGTTTCTTAGAGCTAGGGTAAGTATTCCTAGTATGGGAGATAGGTGGTCAGATAGCAAGGTCAGAGTCTGTGCCTGCTTGGGGTGGGGGGTGGCATCCAGGTGTCATTCTATCCAGGTCTGGTGAAGTTTGGGCTCCCAGCCAGGGCTGGACTTTCTCAGCTGATGCCCACTGACTATCCTGCTCATGGTACCCCATAGAGGAGGACTTTGACTGGCCAACTGCCTGCATCGAGTTGGAGCAGCACCTGGCCCGCTGGGCAGAGGATGGACAGCGAGCTGAGTACTTCTGCCTGGCTGATGGTCACTTTGCTTCCATTGATGCAGTGTTGCTGCTCCAGGTGAGGGGTTAGGTGGGAGGCCAGGAGAAGTAAAGGGTGGGGAACCTCCACAACATCTATCTCCATGCTCTCCTTCCAGGGTGGGGCACTGTGTCTGTCAGGTTCCCGAGATCGCAATGTCAACCTGTGGGACCTACGACATTTAGGGAAGGAGCCTAGCCGAGTTCTGGTGAAGGCCTTGGGCACCCAGGGCAATAGCACACACCAGGTGAACAATCTTGGGGTGCATGAAAGAGGCTGGGAGGGGGCTGCGACTCAGGGACTGGGATTTGATACCACATTGCATGGGTTTGACTCTGCCTGTGCTGTTGGTGTAACTAGTGATGAGTTAAGTTCTCACTGTTCAATGGGTGGTAAGATGAGGATGGGGAAGTATTAATGTGCATATGCCATCAATTTATTCTTTGGCACACAATAGGTGCTCAATAAGTTATCAGGTATACCTCGAGAAGCCCATTGCAGAACAGTTATAAAGCTGCCATCGGGTATCAGCTAGCCTTCAGTATGACTGTCCTAGCCCTTGAGGCTGCATGCTTAATTTGGTTGTTTGAGGCCTCAAACCTCCATCAGTGTGAGCCTCTGAAGGCTTTAACTGTAATGCTAATACTCTCAGGAAGCTAAAGGCAGATAGGATTATTCTGAGTTTGAAACTAGCCTGAGCTACATAATAAGTTTCAGGCCAGCCTGGACTGTAGAGTCAGATGGTTTCAAAGAGCAGAAGTGAAAAAACAAGCTATTGAAAACTGCTAGTGATAGAGCACTTGCCTAGAATGTGTTGAGGCTCTGGGTTCTATCCTAGCACAAAGAGAGGGGTGAGGGGCACTGAGAGAGACAGAGGTATCTCTAGATGCCAGTGGGGGATGTGTGGTCTTGTCACCAGGATCTGACAGGCTCGCAGACCCAAACCTTAACCTCACACACTGGGTTGCGTTGTGACTTCTTCAGTTGTTTGCCTCCTCCTCCTGACCGTCGGCTTTGCCATCTGTAGAATGGGAGTTGCGTGTGTTCCTGAAGTGTCTGTGAAAGCAGGCACGAGGGAGGAAAAGCTGTCTGGCTTTGAGTGAATCTCTTCATCTTTTGCACCATCCCTTACAAAAGCAAGAAGGTCCAAGCTTTCTCTTGGGCTTTGGGGAGGAGAGAGCCATGAGCTGTTACACAGCCCTCAAAGTGACTTGTGCCTGCTCCCACAGGGCTGGGTGTGGTCGCTAGCAGCACAGGACCACCGTGTGTGCTCCGGCTCTTGGGACAGCACTGTGAAGCTTTGGGACATGCAGGCCGATGGGCAGCAGTTTGGCGAGATCAAGTGTGAGGGGGCCCGGGCAGGGGGCCTGGGTGGGTAGGGCCCTGCCCAAGCCATCACCCCAGCCTTGTGTGCCGTGTGTCCCCAGGGGCAAGGCGGCCGTGCTGTGCCTCTCCTACCAACCTGACATCCTGGTGACTGGTACTTATGACAAGAAGGTGACCATCTATGATCCCAGAGGTGAGCCTTTAATTTAAGTGCTTAGAAGGCAAAGTGAAGCAGATCTCTGTGAGTTCAAGACCAGCATGGTCTACATAGTAAATTCCAGGCTAACCAGGGCTACACAGTGAGACTCAGGCTCAAAAACAAAACAAAAGAAACACAAAACAATAGAAAAGAACATTGGGCCTGGAGGGGAGTGGTGCAGGAGCTGAAGAGATGGCTCAGCAATTAAGAGCACCGATTGACCTTCCAGAAGACCTGGGTTGGGTGGGAGGCACCCACATGTTAGCTAACAACCACCTGTAATTCTGATTTAAGAGGATTCATTACCTTCTGGCCTTCATGGGCAGGGTATGCATACCGTACACACACACATGTAGACAGAACACCCATACACATAAAAAGGGAATCTCAAAAATTCAAACAAACAAACATTAAGTCATTTGAACAGGGAACATTGGTGGATAACATAACCATGTCTGCACTGCAAGTATTTTCTGTGTTTCTGTGATCCATTGTTCTTGTTCTAAAGGCCCAGAAATGTATTCCATTTTTTTGCTCATTTTGAGATAGACTCTGTTGCCCAGGCTAGCCTCAAACTCACTCTATATCTTAGGCTGGATTCTACCTATTTATCCTCCTGTCTCAGCCTTTGGGCTCCTCAGTAGTTGGGTTACAGGACTGCACTATGAGGCCTGGGTGATGATTAATCTCTCCTGTCCCCCATCCTGGGATAGAAGCCAAGTCCTAGTGCTTGCTAGGCTATGCCTGAGCTATATCCCCACCCCAGCCATGACTGAGTCATCTTACTCCATTAAACTGAAGGGATCCTGAAATGGACTTTGGCTTGGGTGGAATCAAGTGCTTGGCTTTGTGTTGGGAGAGTCTGGTGGGGTTGGAAGGAGACATGGCATGGAGGCAGGGCTAGGAAAGGATAAAAGCCTTTGGGTCCTGGATCCAGGTGGGTGCTGAGGGGAGGAGAGTGATTGGTAAGAGCCAAGAAGGTAGAAGATTTTCCTAGGTGTGATACTGGCCAAAGTCTCTGAAATGCTCTGATACCCTCCATCCTCCTTGGCCTATCATCCCACTCTAGCTGACTTGGCCCTAGTGAAGAGCCGGAGGCTGCACTCAAGCGCTGTGCTAGCGGTGCTGGCAGATGACAGGCATATCATCTCGGGCAGTGAGGACCACAGTCTTGTGGTATTTGATCGCCGAGCCAATAGTGTCTTGCAGCGGCTGCAGGTGGGTTGCCCTTCCCAGTAGCTTCGAGGAGGACTGCAGCCCGGCTTGCCATTCCTAAGTTTCTCTATGCCTTGTCCTTTCCACAGCTGGACTCCTATCTGCTCTGCATGTCTTACCAGGAGCCCCAGCTCTGGGCGGGTGACAACCAGGGCCTGCTGCACGTCTTCGCCAACCGAGATGGTTGCTTCCAGCTTGTCCGGGTCTGCTAGGACCCTTGTCTGTACCTCCCCTGTGACTCCTTGGGTGTGGAGGGCTAACCATGGGAGAACTCCACCTGAGTGTCACCCATTATTTCTCCCCTAGTCCTTTGATGTGGGTCACCAGTCTCAGATCACAGGGATCAAACACTCTCTGGGGACTTTGTACACAACATCTACTGACAAGACCATTCGGGTAAGAACACTGGCCCATGCAGACTCCCCCTCTGGCCAGGGCACATATCCTGACCTCTACCCCTTACCCTTCTCAGGTTCACGTGCCCACAGACCCACCTAGAACCATCTGTACCAGAAGCCACCACAATGTGTTGAATGGGGTAAGGGCCTGCCCCATATAGCCTGCTGGCCTACCAAGAACCCATGACATCTCCTAATTCCACTGTCACTGCTCCCCAGATCTGTGCTGAGGGCAACGTGGTGGTGGCTGCCTCTGGTGGCCTGTCATTGGAGGTCTGGAGGCTGCTGGCCTAAACAGCTGGATGGATATGCCTGGATATATACTGCCTGCTGAGGCTGCACCTAGGCCTCAGCTCTGGAGGACCTTCCTGCGATTGGTGCTGCTTCTGCCCTGCTCCACAGGCCTGGGGCAGAGGAAGCCCTAGGGCTGGGCCCACACCTGTGCCTGTGGAGGTGACATTCTGGTTTTAGCCACACAGGGGGCTATTCCCTACCTTCCACCCTTGGGTTGTTTTGTTTTGCTTGTTGAGAACAGGGTCTTAGTAACCCAGGCTGGCCTCATACTCACTATGAGGCAGGCCTTGAATGCTTGATTCTCCTGCCTAAGTCTCCAAGTGTTGGAATAACAGGTGCACCACCAAACCTGGATGATCCCTGTTTTGTTAGGATTTGGGTGCTTCTTTCCCACAGGAGAGTGAAGGAGAAATAAATGACCGACTGTGCAATTGTTGGGAACTGGAGTGTGAGCTTTGTGTTCTGTGACTGGGGTTGTACATGTGACTGAGTGGGAGGAGTACCATGTTAGGGCTGGGGTGCCTGCTGCTCTGTGTGTGCATGCCCTCAAGGACTTAGCTTTGTGAGGTGTTTGTGGTCTATGTGGCATGTAGACTCTGACTCAAATCCCCAGTATAGGTCTATATGGAAGGAGAAGATATCTGCCCCAACCACCCTGTAGGTATCTGGCAGGGGGCCATAGTGTGGGTTTCTCCATGCAGAGCGCTAGGTGTGCAGCTATGTGTGGCTGTGGCTGTGGCTGGAAATGGCATGGAAGGAAGCCTGACAGGTGTGCACTGATCCCCGAAAGCTGTAGTACCCCTCAGCCTCCTGCTTGAGCACACACAAGTTGTAACACAGGAGCAGTCATGTTTATTGAGGCCCTGGTACTCAGGGTCATAGGGTAGTAGCATTATCGGGGGGGTGGGGTGGGGGAGTGTCATAGGATAGCACAGGGCTTCTTTTCCTTGAAAGGGTTGGTGGCAGCTGGGATGCCCACAAGGAAGGGATCAGTCTTGGCCTGCTCCGTGCAGAACTGCAGCAGATCTGTGGCTGCCTTGGACACCTGCAGACCAATCAAGTCAGCCACATCTGGGTGTCCACCTGTTCCCTTGCCCAGATGTGTCCACTCTAAGCCTGCCCCAACCCTTACCTTTATGCGATTGATGCCTGCTTCCATCCGAAGTTGCTCCACTGCCCGGCGGGCCTGTCCTATGTCACTGCCGGTGGCTGCCTTGCTGGACATCTGGGAGAAGGTAGCAGGGATGTGCAAGCCTGAGCTTCCAAGCTTCTACAAGTCCTTCTGGGTCCCTGGCTACTCTGGGTTCCCGCACGTTCAGATACCTCAGCTGAAGACTCCTGAACACGTTTGGCTTCCTGCTCCAGCCTCAACTACCCTCAGGCTCCCTCCTCAATACTGGCTTCAAATCTTCAACCCCCTTCCCAGTCCCTGGGGAGACTTTGAAGCCAGGACCCAGTGAAATGTCACCAGCAACAACAGCAGCAGCTGCTGTGACAGAAGGGGTCCAATACCCAGGAGGCCCAGGGGCTGCTTTGGTGTCACATGTTTCTTGGATCCCCTGAGGTACTAGGCAGCTTGGCTGCAGGCATTAGGATGTGGGACTCTTACTTGCTGGGTATCTGTGGACTGTTCACAGCAGACCTCTCTCCCTGCTTCTGCCACCCCATGCAGGCTGTGTGTGTTCCCTGCCTGGCTGGGTTCTTCTCTGAACTCCAAACTGTGTTTTTCTTTTCTTCCTTTTTCTCGAAACAGTTTCTCTGTAGCTTTGGAGTCTGTCTTTGGAACTTGCTCTACACACCAGGTTTGCCATGCCTGTCTCTGCCTCCTGAGTGCTGGGATTAAAAGGCGTGGGCCACCACTGCCCAGGCCTCACCCCATTTTTTTTTAAATTTATTTATTAGTTCTAGGTAGGGAACAAGCCTGTTTCACATGTAAGTCCCTTCTCCTTCTCCCTCTCCGGCAGGGCAGGGCCCTCAACGGGGGCTCTGCAAAGTCCACCAAATCTTCCTGTGCTGATCCTGGGCTCTTCCCCATGTGTCCAGGGCCAGAGTGTAACCCTTCACGTGGGATGGGCTCTCAAAGTCCCTTCTTGCACCAGGGAAAAATACTAATCCACCACCAGAGGCTCCCTGGAGTGCAGAGGCCTCCTTATTGACATCCATATTCAGGGGTCTGGATCAGTCTTGTACTGGCCTACCCGACAGCATCTAGGGTCGATGTGCTCTCCCTTGTTCAGGCCAACTGTTCCTGTGGGTTTCTCCAACCTGGTCCTCACCCCGTTTTTAAAAAATATATTTTAATGGGGTTTTGAGGCAGGGTCTTCAAAGTGACTAAGTAGCCCAGGCTGACCTTGCCATCATGCCTGGCCTGACATTACTCTTGTGTTAGACCTCTTACTATGTTCACCCCTAGACTTGCATCCCCCAGCTGCTCAGGCACCCATCTCCAGGGTCCTCGTCCTTCTCCTTCCAGTGCCTCCATATCTAACTGCCTCAGGTACCATCATACCAGCCTTTTGGTTTTTTGTTTTGTTTTTTTTGAGACAGGTTTCTCTGTGTAGCCCTGGCTGACCTGGAACTCACTTTGTAGACCAGACTGGTCTTGAACTCAGAGATCCATCTGCCTCTGCCTTCCTGGGCTTAAAGGTGTATACCACCACTGCCTGGCCATATCAGCCTTTAAGTGATGTTCTCTGGTTCCTGCTCTTATTGGTTTTTTTGTTTGTTTGTTTGTTTGTTTGTTTGTTTGTTTTTTGTTTTTTCAAGACAGGGTTTCTCTGTGTAGCTTTGGAGCCTATCTTGGCACTCGCTCTGGAGACCAAGCTGCCCTCGAACTCAGAGATCCACCTGCCTCTGCCTCCCAAGTGCTGGGATTAAAGGTGTGTGCCACCAACGCCCGGCTTCCTGCTCTTATTGTTCATGTCACCTGTCTTCCTCCCCAACCTGACTCACTGTCCTGAACCAGTACAGTCCTCTATGTGTCATTTGCCAGCTTTTCTCTGCCCTGCTCTGGCTGTTTTGAGCATGCTGTGGTGCACACCTGTGACCCTGTCACTCTGGAGGCTGGCTTGGACTACACAGTAAGACCCTATCTCAAAACAAAACAAAACAAAAACAATCGGGGTGGGGTGACTGGCACCGTGTGTATTCCAAGCTACTCTAGAGGCTGAGGTGGGAAGATTGTTTCCTGAGAGCCAGGAGTTAGCAGCCTGGGCCACAGAAGGACCCTGTCAAGAAAATAAAAAACCTGCCCTCTACCTGCTGCTGTGCAGCCTCTTGCAGTAGATATATCCTCTGCAGTCCACAGGGTGCTGCCGCCAGCCCAACTCTTGGAATTACTTTGTTATTTATATGATCAATACCATGATTATCATTCAGACAGGGGCTGGCTAAATATCATCTAGACTGGTCTTTCACTCCAGGGCCAAGGCATCCCTCTGCCGCATCCTCTTGAGTAGCTGGGACTCTAGATACTCCCAGCATACCCAGCCTCTTAGTATCTTTTCCCCTTATCCCTCAGGGATTACTCTGACACTGTTTTCTGCCTGCCTTTCCGAAGTGTATGAGCTTTGAGATGCTACAACAAATACCACAGACTGAATTGTATAAGCAACAGTAATTGTTGGCTGAGTGGTTGGAGGTCAAGGTGCTGGTTTTGGTTTCTCTAGAGACTGTTGTTTCATCAACTGCTTTTAAAAAAGTATTTTAAAATTGCATTCATTATCCCAGCACTCAGGAGGCAGAAGCAGGCTGATCTCTGTGAGTTGAGGCCAGCTAGGTCTAAATAGTAAGTTCCAGGCCAGTCAGAGTTATATGGTGAGACTGTCACAAAAGTATTTGTTTGTGTTGGGGTGGGGTGCATGTGGAAATCAGAGGACTACTTTCTGGACTCTGTTCTCTCCTTATACCCTATGGGTCTTGGGGATTGAACTCAGGTAGCCAGGTCCTGACAATGACTTTTACCCAGTGAGTCGTGACCTCACCAGCCAGGAGGTCAACTTCTTGCTGTGTTCTTACCGCTTCTTTCCTCTGCATGAAATCACTGGTGACTCAGTGTTTATCTGAGCATAATAGCTATTACTATCTTAATCAGAGCAGTTCTGGCTACCTACGATCAACACTCAAGATTGAACCTGTTCCTCATAAAAGGAGGGAGTGCAGGCCGGCATCAGACTCTCACCTGGGAATTCAGCCACTTTCCCTCCTGCATGCCACCCTAGAGGTGTGCAATTCTCTCCAGCCACATGTGGCATTGGGCAGTGCTAGTATATGTAAGAGGTTACCTGAAGTGGGGCCCTCTATGCATCTTTGTAGGAGTAGTGTCTCTGAAATCTTTATATTAAACAGGAATTTTCTAGGTCTTCTGGCCTTTGCCAAAATGCCATGTGTTTGGGATTTTTCTCCAATCGCTTCTCCCTTCAGCTAGGGTTACCAACTCCTCTTTCCACCTTCATATTTGAGTGTGAGTGTGTGTGTGTGTGTGTGTGTGTAGGCCAGAGGACAACCTCAGATGTCATTCTTTAGGAGACATCCATCTGGTCCCCAAACCTTTTATTTTGTGCATGTATGAGCATGTGCATGCATGGTGTGCTTGTGGAGGTCAGAAGACCATGTGCCTTTGGCTACTGAGCCATCTTACAAGTCCCCAGGGATCTACCTGTCTCTGCTACCCCAGAGCTGGAAATATTGGCACTGCCCTCACAGCCATTTTTTTTTTAAATTTGTGTTCTAGGAATTGAATACATACATCCAATTCACACTCTTGCAAAGCAAGGGCTTTACTGACAGCTATTTCTTTTACCACACCATCCCCTTATGTTGAGTTATGGTCTCACTCTATTGTTCAGGCTGATCTGGAACTTGAGATTCTCTTGTTTCTATCTCTTAACGGCTGGCAGGTGTGTGCCCTGAGCCTGGCTTAACCACAATTTTCTGTTGCATCATTCAGACTATGGGACATCAGGAGGGCAGAGGTCTTGTTTACTGTTGGAGCTCAGTGCCCAGTACTGAGATTTTTTTTTTTTTCCCCTCCGAAACAGGGTTTCTCTGTGGCTTTGGAGGCTGTCCTGGAACTCGCTCTTGTAGACCAGGCTGGTCTCGAACTCACAGAGATCCACCTGCCTCTGCCGCCCGGTGCAAAGAGCACTATTTAGTGTAGACTACGCAAATTACAGAAGAATAGGTGCTCCTGTCGCTTCTTGGGGTACAAAGATGATAGCCATGCCTCCCTCCCACAAAGGACCCGTGGTTCAGTGGAAGGTGACGGGTGTGGCTGGAGGGGGACTTGGGAAGGCACCAAAAGGAGTAGCTATTCCCTTTGACAAGAGGCTGCCTGATGCCCTAAATCCTGTCTGAGGGCTCTGTCTTAGGAATAGTCACCTCACTCATACGGGGCAGGAATATTTGGACAGACAACTTTCAAAGGAGGCACTTTCATCCGCTTTAAACTGAGTCCGTTTTCAGGGAATAACGGCAGTGTACGGAGCACAGGCGTAAAATGGCCGCTACCAGGACTGCAGGCGCGATCGAAAGTCACGTGACTAAATAGCTTCCGGTCGCCCCGCCCCGCCCCCAGGCTCTCCAGTCCCATTTCCTGGACTCGGGCCGACCACGCTGAGCGAGAGGTTCGGCGCGTCCCGAGGCAGCGAAGCGGCTGTGAGTTGTGAGCGGCCGCAGGCGCATGGAGGGGACCCCGCAGGGGGTGGCGCCCGCCGCGGCGTTGGCCGCTGTGCTCAAGCACAGCTCGGCGTTGCCGCCCGAGAGCGCCCAGGTGCAGGGTTACGACTTCAACCGCGGCGTGGATTATCACGCCCTTCTGGAGGCCTTCGGCACCACCGGATTCCAGGCTACCAACTTTGGACGCGCGGTGCAGCAAGTCAACGCCATGGTAAGGCCGGGTCCGCCCAGGAGCGGGACGAGAGGGTGGGCCGCCCCGCCAGCCCGCGTTCTCTCCTGAGTGTCCTGTAAATTTGTGTTCTGGGATGGGGGGATAGGGGTTAATAGAAGAGCATTACAGGAGGAGCTTAACGCCCGGAGAGCCTTGGAGTCACTTTTCCCAGTGTAAGGAGACTTGAAAAGAAGACACTGTGTGGTTCCTAGTGACATCCCTAAGTGACAGACCTGGACTGGGGAAGGCAGGGCTAGGATCTGCACAGCGGCTGTGCTTTGGTTTTGAAGTAGTCCTGAATCCTTGAGTACAATCAAACTCTGGAATCCAGGCCGCCTGGGGTTCCTCGACTGAGGTTTGGAGTCAGTGCAACTTTGCTGTGC